AAAAGAGGGAATTCTGGAATGATTCTCTTCTATTGGAACTATTGGAAGAAAGCTGCATTAGGACTCTGGGAATATACTTTCTGTTAGGCCCAGCCCAAGAACAACAGGGAAACAGTCCATCCAAGTTGTTGCTTACACCATATAAATGGAATCTTGCCAGACTAAATCTGTACTTCTCTAACCTGGTGGATATACCATGGGAGATTCTAGGGAGTGGTTATCCTAAATCTCTTCCTCTTCCCATGGTCGTGCTCTGGACTGTGCTGACTCTTGTCTCCCCCCCACCCCTCCTCCTGGAATATGCTCCTTCCTTCCTGAGAACCTGATGCTCCATTGCATTCCATCACACTTTCCCCCCCCAATAATACAGACACAGGAGGGCCTTTTTTAACCCCTGCTGAACACAAGCACAGTGGACTCAGATGTTCCCCCCCATGGGGTTGTTGGCAATGTGGGTTTGACCCTGCTGCCCGGCTGGGTGGGGGAACACTAGGCTAACTCAGGCCTGGAGGAGGAGGGCAGAAGGCTGGCTCATTTAACCTGTTGTGCATTTCCTTTCCTGTTTAGCTACCACTCTGTCTGGATTCAGGCTTCAGCAAAGTTGCACAGGCCAATGCCCCATTTCCAAATCAACTTGGCCAACGCTCTATACTTTTACCTGCTGCCAGGAAAACAAGTGCAACCATGTGTCGGCCATAAGATGCTCCAAGTCTCTGTTAGCTGTGGCTCTTGTATTTGGTGGAGCGTTGACGGATCTGGAATTCTGACCCGGGGCAGAGAAAAAGGCATTTTTGCCCTCTTAGCAGCCCTGAACGTTTCTTCCAAGGTTTCTGTCCCACTTTTGCTGCAGGGCCCAGGAGGATGCGAACTGTCTCCTGCAGAAAGACACCCGTGTTCTTATTCTTGTGTTGTTTTCTGAATGCTGCCAAAGTGGAAATTAGGTTTGACAGACAAGCATGCTCCGTCTTCAGCAGCAGGCAAAGATGCAAAAGGAATCCTCGTGGATGATTTTCTCAGGACAAGCGAGGCTGAAGCAGAAGCAAGAGCTGGGCTTTCAGATGAACAAAGGGATCTGCAATTTCACAGCACAGACACTTTTGGATGACCTTTACTCAGTCTTGTGGGGGTTCAATTTGAAAGATGGGATGAAATACCTAATGGCAGTCTCTGTTGCGGATTTGTTTGCTTGGCCAGACTAGAAAAGAAGGGATTACAGTGCCCTTCATCAGGCGCATGAATCTTTTCCCCAAAGAAAATGAGTATATCTAGGCCTCTGAATGGGTGAGGGTAGTAAAAGGAGAAGGCAGAGGGAAGCAGTAGAGACACACATGTTGACAGACGGGAACCATTAAGAAAACAATGGCTGGAAGGAGTAGTCTTGCTCCCTGAAAGGGTGGGGTTTCCCTGTCAAGCATAGCATAACAATTAATTAGCAGATAAATATGGGTTCTGTCCTAAGAAATACACTAAGGCAGGGGTTTATTCTCCAGGAAGGTCTAGCAGTGGGGAAGTTCAAAGAAAACTAGAAGAAAATTAGGACATCAGGGTGAGTGAGGTGTTCTGCTGAAGAGGACACCCCAAGGGGAGGGCTCAGCTTATACGGATGCTCTGTGGTAAACATCTATTTTTGTTCTAGGCTAGTCTTCTTTAAAGCCTGTATCCCCTCCAACAATGCTTTGATTTGTGAAAGTACACGAGTCTTCTTTATTCTGAAACAATCATGCCAAATTTTATTGAAGTTGCCAAGTCACACACAGCTCCACGTTGCATGGGTTAGACTGGGGTTACACCATGTAGCCTCCAGGTTGGAACTCGACGGCTTTTCATTACGGAACAGCCGCTCCAGAAATCCAGCATTCCCACACCAGGCAGCCTTGTGAATGATAAATCTAGTTGAGATTTGCTTTTTAAGGGGCAGAAGTAGGGCTGTTTAAGAATCCAGGCAAGGGGTAATCCAGCCTTTACTTCCAGGTGTATTTGGACCACAATCCCCATCTTTCCTAGCCGACATGTCCAAAGGGTGCTCTCTAGGGCCCCTTCAGGGTGTTGGGAAGAAGGCTGACGTATCCTCAAACTGGTCAAAGGACCACATCATCTCAGAGCAGTGAAATGTCTCTGTAATGCAGATCTTCGGACTCTTTGGGGTTTTCAGAATTAATGGGCCGTAAAGAGTTTTGTTTAGAAGAGGGTGGTTTGGAATGTTCTCAAATGATTCATCCCAACTGTTTGGGAAAATGAGATACTTCTTTGTTATATTCTGGTGGCAAAGGGGCCAGCCCGCCCTCCCCCTCCTTCTAAGGGAACTTGAGCCTGCATCTCCAGTAACCAAGTTCTCTATTGCCCAACTGAGATTTCTGATCTTATTATTAGAAGAATGGGAGAGGCCCTTTACGGAGTCAGGTGAAAGGCCTAGTCATTTTGTTGCTTTTTTCTTGCTGAGCCAAGAAGACCCAGTGCCTTTACTCTGGACAAGACAAAAACAGCTCTTGATTGATTCTGTTCCGCTGTGCCATCAGTAACATGCATTGAACTCGGCAGAGTAATAAAATAATCTATAGTAAACACTCCCTCACACTGAGGGAGCTACTGGTGGGGAAGAAGAGGAAAGAGATCAGGCATGAATGTGTCCTGGGAAATTTTATTTATTTTATTTTATTTTATTTTATTTTATTTTATTTTATTTTATTTTATTTTCTTAAATTTATTATGGCCACCCACTTCAGTGGACTCTGGGTGACCTTTTTATGAGTTACAATTGGAACCTGATTTTCAAGTTCTTAGTCAAAGACGTGGGTCCTTCTCTCACTTCTTATTTTACCTTTGCAATACTGTAGGTCCTTTTGTAGACTTTGATTGGATTATGGACTGGATTCTCACATATCAGTTTATAAAATTAGCAACGCATGCTACTTCCATTGCGCTAAACAATGGATTACTTAACCCTGCTTTCTTGAGAATAAGCCACAACTGGTGAAGTTCAGACAAGACAGCCCTATTTTCAGTGTTGATGTTGTAATTTGTTTGGAATATAATAACAAAGCAAGTTACTGATGGTAACATCCATTGAACTTGGATGTTTCTTGGTTTATTATTATATTCACTTGCTTGGTTTACAAACAATAATGACTGGATACCATGCTAAGCCAACAAACCTCTTTATGGCTTGATGGACTGTGTGGACTTAGCTGGAGTTGAGCGAGAAGGATTTGCTCGAACAAGCCAATTCCGCAGCTTAATGGGACCTTGAATCCACGTGTCTTGGCTTCTGAGCCAGGTCGGTTATGCCAAGATGCAGGAAATGAAACCTGGGTATGGATTGGGCTGGGCATGGATTTCTCATATTCAAACACAAGGTATTACAACCTCAGGTGTGGGGACAGATTTGCTCAGAGAGCTATCAAAAATTCTTGTTGCAGGAAGAAAAGGTTCCAGTGTTCTGCTCCAGTATAAGCTTTAGCTCAGGCCAGAATACAAATTGTAGACAGGAGACATGAAAATGATAAAACCTCATGTGCAACCCAGATACTACCCCCTGGTAAACTTAGGCAGACCCATGTGAAGGAAGACACAAACACAACCTGCTATTTCTCATCCCCCCTGCTGAAAGGCTCATGGAGTTGATGGGAGTCTCAGAAGGTATCTAGTCCAGCTCTCTGCTCAACAAAGGAAACCCAAAGCTTGATTCGTTCCATAGATACATGTCAGCCTTTAACTGAAGACTCACCTCCAGTTGATGAGCGTCTTTTCAGACTAATTCAAAGGCATCTACTTTCAAGAGCTACAGGTCAGTTCATCAAGTGCAATGGAGTGACTAGACTGATGTCCAGTCCCTGTGTCAGTGTTTCTCAGCCTTGGCAACTTTAAGATGGGTGGACTTCAACTCCCAGAATTCCCCA